AGGAGCTTTGGGACGGGGCATCCTTGAAGGCAACGGAGGGACGGCGGGGCTCCGGGGGAGGTGGGGGTTCGGAGGGGGCCCCCTCGCCACCCCCGACGGCGTCCTCCTCGCCCTGCCAGGCCAGGGCCAGCTGCAGGTCCAGCCCCTCCAAGTCCTCGCCCGTCAGGCTGGGGCGCAGCTCCCGGGGGGCAGCCTCCTGGTCTGGCTTCGGGCCAAACGCCCAGTCTGCGGCAAGGGGGCTGGTGAGGCAACTCCACCCTTCTCTGTCCCCTCCCCGGCTAGGAGAAGCCCTTGGATCCCCCAGCCACCCACCCGGGGTGGCCCGGCATCCGCCAGGCCGGGTTTTGGTGGGGACAGCTCACCGGCCAGGTCGTGGGCGAGGTCTTTGATGAGGTGCCCGACGATGGCGTAAGCGACAGCTAGCACGACCAGCGCGGCCAGCAGCAGGTACAGCACGTACCTGGGCAGGCGGATGGCGTCCAGGGGCGGTGGCCGGTACTCCTCATACAGCGGCGGGGACGGGCTCCAGCCCTCGGCCTCCTCCCCGGCCAGCCCCGGCATGGTGTCCGCCCGGCACCGGGGAGGCCCGGAGGTGACCCACACAGCGGAAGTATTAAGGGGCTTTGAGCTAAGAGGATTGGGCGGCTGTCCCACGGTCGCCATCTGCCTGGGTTAATCACACTGCCAATCACTTCCGCCCACCGGGAGCCTACCTGCTCAGCTCCAGCCACGACTCTGCCACCTGGAATGCCCTGCCCAGATTTCCTCACGGCCGGTTCACGCTCTTCATTCATCTTTTTTCTTACTCTTCTTATTTTTTGAGACAGTCTTGCTCTGTCGTCCAGGCTGGAGTGCAATGGCACAGTCTCGGCTCACTGCAACCTCCACCTCCCAGGTTCAAGTGATCCTCGTGCCTCAGCCTCCCGAGTAGCTGGAACTACAGGCACGTGCCACCACACCCGGCTAATATTTGTATTTTTAGTAGAGACAGGGTTTCAGTATGTTGGCCAGGCTAGTCTCGAACTCCTGACGCCGTAATCCGCCCACCTAGGCCTCCCAAAGTGCTAGGATTACATGCATTAGCCACTGTGCCCGGACTTTATTATGTTATTTTATTTATTTTAATTTTTTTTTAGATGGATTTTCACTCTTGTCACCCAGGCTAGAGTGCAATGGCAAGATCTCAGCTCATTGCAACCTCCACCTCCCAGGTTTGAGTGATTCTCTCGCCTCCGCCTCCTGAGTAGCTGGGATGACAAATGCCTGCCACCATGCCTGGCTAATACTATTTTTTGTGACAGAGTCTGTCCAGCTGAGTGCTAGAGGGTAGTGGTACGATCATAGCTCACTGCACCCTCAAACTCGTGGGCTCAAGCAATCCTCCCGCCCCAGCCTCTGGAGCAGCAAAGATTCCAGGTCCCCCCCACTGTGCTTGGCTCTTCCTCCATGCATGGAATGTGTATTGCGCGGTGACTACAGCCGGCCTCTCTGTCAGGTGCTGGGACACAGCTATGAATAAGAAAGACCAGGCTGGCCGGGCGCGGTGGCTCAAGCCTGTAAACCCAGCACTTTGGGAGGCCGAGGCGGGTGGATCATGAGGTCGAGAGTTCGAGACCATCCTGGTCAACATGGTGAAACCCCGTCTCTACTAAAAATACAAAAAAAATAGCTGGGCGTGGTGGTGCGTGCCTGTAATCCCAGCTACTCAGGAGGCTGAGGCAGGAGAATCGCCTGAACCCAGGAGGCGGAGGTTGCGGTGAGCCGAGATCGCGCCATTGCACTCCAGCCTGGGTAACAAGAGGGAAACTCCGTCTCAAAAAAAAAAAAAAGAAAGAAAGACCAGGCTGGGTGCCGTGGCTCATGCCTGTAATCCCAGCACTTTGGGAGGCTGAGGCGGGCAAATCACCTGAGGTCAGGAGTTCGAGACCAGTCTGGCCAAAATGGTGAAAGCCCGTCTCTACTAAAAATACAAAAATTAGCCGGGTGTGGTGACAGGCGCTGTAATCTCAGCTACTTGGGAAGCCGAGGCAGGAGAATCACTTGAACCCGGGAGGCGGAGGTTGCAGTGAGCCGAGATCACGCAATTGCACTCTAGATTTGGCAACAGAGCAAGACTCCATCTCAAAGAAAAAAAAAAATAGGGCTGCCAAGGCATCACTGAGGAGGTGACATTTGAACAAAGACCTGGAGGAAGAAGGGAACCAGCTCCGGAAGAACCAGCGGAAAGAGAGTTCCAAGCAGAGGGCATAGCCTGTGCAAAGGCCCTGGGGCAGGACTGCACCTGGCATGTTGGAGGAACAGTGAGGTCCTGCAGGGGCATGGAGACCGTGAGGAAGACTTGGGCTTAGACCCTAAGGGAGGTAGGAGCCATGAAGGGCTGTGTGCAGAGGAGGGACAGGTCCTGACCCAGGTGCTCACAGGTGCCCCCTGGTGACTGCTTTGGGGGGACAGCCTGTGGAACGAGGTGGAGGGCACTGAGCTGCTCCCAGTGGGAGAAAAGTGGGAAGATTTGGGATTGATTTTTATTTCTATTTATTTATTTTGAGATAGAGTCTCACTCTATTGCCCAGGCTGGGGTGCAGTGGCACAGTCTCGGTTCACAGCAACCTCCGCCTCCCGGGTTCAAGCGATTCTCCAGCCTCAGCCTCCCGAGTAGCTGGGACTACAGGCATGTGCCACTGCATCCGGCTAATTTTTTTTTGTATTTTTAGTAGAGATGGGGTTTCACCATGTTGACCAGGATGGTCTTGAACTTCTGACCTCAGGTGATCCACCCGCCTCAGCCTCCCGACCTCCTGACTCCAGGTGATCCTCCCCCGTCAGCCTCCCGAAGTGCTGGGAGTACAGGCGTGAGCCACCGCACCCAGCCATTCTTTTTTTTGTTTTTTGAGACAGGATCTTGCTCTGTCACCCAGGCTGGAGTGCAGTGGTGGGATCTTGGCTCACTGCAGCCTGGACTACCCAGGCTCAAGCCATCCTCTTGCCTCAGCCTCCTGAGTAGCTGGGATTACAGGAGTGCATCACCACGCCCAGCTAATTTTTGTGCTTTTAATAGAGACGGGTTTCACCACATTGGTCAGGCTGGTCTCAAATTCCTGACCTCGTGATCCACCCGCCTTGGCCTCCCAAAGTGCTGGGATTACAGGCGCACATCACCACATCCAGCTAATTTTTACACTTTTTTTTTTTTTTTTTTTGGAGACGGAGTTTCGCTCTTGTTGCCCAGGCTGGAGTGCAATGGTGCGATCTCAGCTCACCGCAACCTCCGCCTCCTGGGTTCAGGCAATTCTGCCTCAGCCTCCTGAGTAGCTGGGATTACAGGCATGCGCCACCACGCCCAGCTAATTTTTTGTATTTTTTTTAGTAGAGATGGGGTTTCACCATGTTGACCAGGATGGTCTCGATCTCTTGACCTCGTGATCCACCCGCCTCGGCCTCCCAAAGTGCTGGGATTACAAGCTTGAGCCACCGCGCCCGGCAATTTTTACACTTTTAATAGAGACAGGGTTTCACCATGTTGGTCAGGCTGGTCTCCTGACCTCGTGATCCACCCGCCTGGGCCTCCCAAAGTGCTGGATTACAAGGGTGTGTGCTGCTGCACCTGGGCTTGGGATAGATTCTTCCTTTTTTTTTTTTCTTTTTAGATGGAGTTTCACTCTTGTTGCCCAAGCTGGAGTGCAATGGCACAATCTCGGTTCATCACAACCTCTACCTCCCAGTTTCAAGCGATTCTCCTGCCTCAAGCCTACCAAGTAGCTGGGATTACAGGCATGCACCACTACACCAGGCTAATTTTGTATTTTTTAGTAGAGAAAGGGTTTCTCCATGTTGGTGAGACTGGTCTCGAACTTCTGACCTCAGGTGATCCGCTCACCTGGGCCTCCCACGGTGCTGGGATTACAGGCGGGAGCCACCATGCCTGGCTGGGATAGATTTTTCATTGACCAAACCTGTGGTTTTAGACTGCCTAGGATGGCGGGGTTCCCATTTGCTGAGTTAGGAACACCGCAGAGGAGAAACCCGGAGAAGAAACACAAGAAATTCCAAGCAGCCAGGGCCCGGGGAGCCAGGACAAGGCAGTATCAGGTGGTGGTGAGGGAGAGGGGGTTCAAATCCCAGCTCTGCCCATCACAGCACAACCCCTGCTGTCCGGGGTTCTCTTCTCTCTACAACAGGGTTCGCGAAATTTCCTGGGGTGTTGGGAGAAGGAAATGCAATGATGTCTAAAAGTGTGAGACTTGGCCGGGCTCGGTGACTCACGCCTGTAATCTCAACACTTCGGGAGGCCACGGCAGGCAGATCACGAGGTTAGGAGTTTGAGACCAGCCTGGCCAAGACGGTGAAACCCCGTCTCTACTAAAACTACAAAAATTAGCCAGGCACTGTGACAGGTGCCTGTAATCCCAGCTACTTGTGAGGCTGAGGCAGGAGAATCACTTGAACCTGGGCGGCAGAGGTTGCAGTGAGTGGAGATCGAGCCACTGCATTCCAGCCTGGACGACAGAGTAGACTGTATCAACAACAGCAGCAAAAAAAAAAAAAAAAAAAAAAAAAAAAAAAAAAGCGTGAGCCTTATCACGGCCCTGCACCCCAGCCTGGGTGACAGAGTGAGAGTCCATCTCAAAAATAAAAACTATGAGCCTCGCCAGCCACAGTGGCTCATGCCTATAGTCTCAGGGGCTCGGGAGGCTGAGGCAGGAAGATTGCTTAAACCCAGGAGTTGGAGGCTGCAGTGAGCTAAGATTGTGCCACTGTACTCCAGCTTGGGTGACAGAGCCAGATCTTGTCTCTATTAAGAAGGGGGTGCCGGCTGGGCGCGGTGGCTCACGACTGTAATCCTAGCACTTTGGGAGGCTGAGGTGGGTGGATCACCTGAGATCAGGAGTTCAAGACCAGACTGGCCATCACGGTGAAACCCCATCTTTAAAAGCAAAAAAAAAAAAAAAAAAGCAGCAGCAGCAGCAGGGGTTCCCTTGTATTATATTTGAGTTTTGTTTTTCTGTCACAATAAAGTTTATTATGAAAACAGGCTGGTGTGGGGACAGGGGGACAGACAAGTACATTTAGGTCGGGGGGCTCAGGTCCTCCAGGGTCGAAGTGTGTTTTTGGTCCCTGCGCTTGCTCCGGGAGCTGCCGGGGCCTGTGCCCTTCATCTTGCAGTGCTGTAGGGCATCCCTGGCAATATCTGAGATCAATTTCTGGGTGGCTAGGGAGACGAGCCGAAGTCCGCGTCGGTCTGAGGCGTCAAAGCCGGCACAGTTCAGGTGGTAACCAGCCACTGCATCTGGGCTGGTAGGCGTGTAACCCTCCAGCTGCATCAAGAAGTCCACCAGAGGCGCGCTGGACACCAAGGGCTTCCCGTCTCCGGAGGCCGCGCTGGGCAGTACGGAAACCCCGTTCAACATGGCCGCCTCCAGGGGCGCCCCGGCCCGCGCCGCCAACAGTCGCGTGCCCCCAGCAGCTGCTCCAGCCTCAGGCCCCCCTGGTGTCCCCGCAGGGCTGGTCTTGCTCTCCGTGGCGATGCTGGCGGGCAGCGTGCCGGGAGCCGACACCAGCGCCGCCTCGGGATCCCCGCCGGAGCTGCCACGGCTCTTCCGGCCGGTGGGAGAGGCGGTGCACAGACCCGCTTCCGCTTCCGGTCCCGCTGGCGCCGCGCGCACAACCCGGGGTGACGTCACGCGACGCGCGACGCCTGTCCTGTTTGTTTTTGAGACAGGAGTCAGGGTTTGTCTCGCAGGCTGGAGTGCCGTGGCGTGGTCTCGGCTCACTGCAACCTCCGCTTCCTGGGTTCAAGCGATTCTTACGCCTCAGCCTCCCGGGTAGCTGGGACTACGAGCGTGCAGCCACCACGCCCGGCCAATGTCTGTAATTTTAGTAGAGACAGGAGTCCACCATGTTGGCCAGGCTGGTCTCCAGCTCCTGACCTCAGGTGATCCACCCGCCTCAGCCTCCCAGAATGCCGGGATTATAGACGTTAGCCACTGTGCCAGGCTTTTTCTTTTCTTTGAGACGGAGTCTTGCTCTGTCGCCAGGCTGGAGTACCGAGGCGATCCCGGCTCACTGCAACCTCCGCTTCCCTGCTTCAAGAGATTCTCCTGCCTCAGCCCCATAAGTCGCTGGGACTACGGACGCGCGCCACCACACCCAGCTAATTTTTGTATTTTTAGTAGAGACAGGGTTTCGCCATGTGAGCCAGGATAGTCTCGATTTCCTGAACTCGTGATCCACCCGCCTCAGCCTCCCAAAGTGCTGGGATTACAGGCCTGAGCCACCGCGCCCAGCCGTTCCTTGTTGTTTTTTTAAAAAATTACAGCTGGTCTGATGGATAAAGAGAGGAAATCAATGAGGCTGGAGAGAAAAGGGTGAATGGCTGATGTGACGCCTGTGAGTTGATGAGAAGGACCAGGAGCTGGTAAACGAAAGAGGTGGCTCAGGCAGCCAGTGTCCCATGGAAAGGGGTCAACTTGGAAGTGGCTCCTTCAGCCCCCAATGAGCCTTCAGATGAGGCAGCCCCGGCAACAGCTTGACTGCAACCTCATGAGACACTCAAAGCCAGAAACATCCAGATACCCTGCTCCCCTACTCCCGACCCACAGGAAAGGTATCTGTCTTCTTTCCTCTGTCTCTGGGGGTTTTCTTATCCTTTTTTTTTTTTTTTTTTTTGACATGGAGTCTAGCTCTGTCCGTCAGGCTGGAGTGCAGTGGTGTGAGCTCACTGTAACCTCCGCCCCCCAGGTTCAAGCAATTCTCCTGCCTCAGCCTCCTGAGTAGGTGGGGTTACAGGTGCCTGCCACCACACATGGCTCATTTTTGTAGTTTTATTTTTATTTATTTTTTTAGTAGAGATCGGATTTCACTGTGTTGGCCAGGCTGGTCTTAAACTACTGACTTCATGATCTGCCCACCTCGTCCTCCCAAAGCGCTGAGATTACAGGTGTGAGCCACCACACCTGGTCACTTATTTGTTTTTTAAGAGATAGGGTCAGCCGGGCGTGATGGCTCATGCCTGCAATCTTACTACTTTGGGAGGCTGAGGCGGGTGGATCACGAAGTCAAGAGTTTGAGACCAGCCTGGCCAACACAGTGAAACCCCATCTCTACTACAAAATTTTTTTTTTAATTAGCCAGGTGTGGTGGTGTGCGCCTGAAGCCCCAGCTACTCAGGAGGCGGAGGCAGGAGAATTCGTTGGAACCCAGGAAGCAGAGGTTGCAGTGAGCCAAGATCGCACCACCGCACTCCAGTCTGGGTGACAGAGCAAGACGCCATCTCAAAAAAAAAAAAAAAAAATGAGGTGTTACTATGATGCCCACGCTGGTCCAGTACTCCTGGACATAAGCACTCCTGCCTTGGCATCTAGAGTAGCTGGGACTATAGCCGTGTGCCACTGCACTCAGGTCTAGTTTTCTGTCTATTAAAAGGACACTGGTTATTGGATTTAGGGTCTACCCTAAATCCGGGATGATCTCATCTTGAGATCGTTAAGAACACCTGCAAAGAGTCTCTTTCCAAATAAGGTCACATTCGTGGGTACCAGGGGCTACCACCCTGACAGGTCTTTTGGCGGGGGCACAATTCGACCCATGTACAGCTGTTTGAAGCTGCTGAGTCTGGAGTAACTTGTTGCACAGCCATAAGGATCTTAGGTAAGTCTTGGCTAGCGGAACCAACAGTTCATCAGCCAGCATGAGCGGGCGGAAGGAGCAGCAGCATGCACGGCCCAGGTGCTGGCGGACAGGCACAGCTGTTGGTGGCGGCGTGCGCAAGGTCTTTTTGGTTTTCTCACTGAGGCCGAAAGCAAGGTCATCAGCTGAGTGAGAATGCAAGAGGTTGGAGGTCAACAAGAAAGTGACAGAGGGAACAGATGGCAAGAGAGAGAACCACACAGACCCGTAGTAGAATGGATGCTGGATGCTCAGGAGGCTGAGGTGGGAGGATCACGAGCCTAGGAGGCAGAAGTTGCAGTGAGCTTAGATCAAGCCAGTGCTCTCCACGCTGGGCAACAGAGCAACACTCTGTCTCTAAAACCTGGGATGGCCAGGCACAGTGGCTCACGTCTGTAATCCCGGCACTTTGGAAGGCTGAGGAGGGTGGGTTACTTGAGGCCAGGAGTTGAAGACCAGCCTGGTCAACATGGCAAAACCCGGTCTCTACTAAAAGTATATAAATTAGCCAGACATGGCGGCACGCGCCTGTAATCCCAGCTATTCAGGAGGGTAAGGCACAGGAATCGCCTAAACCTGGGAGGTGGAGGTTGCAGTGAGCTGAGATGGCACCCCTGCACTGCACTGTGGGTGACAGAGTGAGACTCCGTTTCAAAACAGAACAAAGAAAAAAACATTGAGACCCCATCTCTACAGAAAATACAAAAATTAGTCGGGCATCATGGGGAAAACCTTAAGTCCCAACTACTTGGGAGGCCAAGACAGGAAGATCGCTTGAGCCCAGGAGGTCAAGGCTGCATTGATCAGCCACTACACTCCTGCCTGGGTGCCAGAGCAAGAGCCTCTCCACTTAAACAAAAACGGCAGGCCGGGCGCACTGGCCCACGCCTGTAATCCCAGCACTTTGGGAGGCCGAGGTGGGCAGATCATGAGGTCAAGTGTTGGAGACCAGCCTGGCCAACATGCTGAAATGCCATCTCTACTAAGAATACAAAAATTAGCTGGGCATAGTGACATGTGCCTGTAATTCCAGCTACTCAAGAGGCTGAGGCAGGAGAATCCCTTGAACCTGGGAGGCAGAGGTTGCAGTGAGCTGGGATCGCATCACTGCACTCCAACCTAGGGACAGACCAAGACTCTCCATCTCAAGGAAAAGAAAAACAGGCTGGGCACAGTGGCTCACGCCTGTAATGCCAGCACTTTGGGAGGCAGAGGTGGGTGGATCACCTGAGGTCAGGAGTCCAAGACCAGCCTGACCAACATGGTGAAACCCCGTCTCTACTAAAAATACAAAAAAAAAAAAAAAAAAAATCCAGGCGTGATGGTGTGTGCCTGTAATCCCAGCTACTTGTGAGGCGGAGGCACGAGAATCACTTGAACCCAGGAGGTGGAGGTTGCAGTGAGCGGAGATCGCGCCACTGCTCTCCAGCCTGGACGATAAGAACCAGACTCCGTCTCAAAAAATAAATAAAAATAAAACCTATAATCAAACATGTGACTTTCAGGCACATTTCCCAACCTCTACACTCATTTGGAGTGGGATCGTTCTCTGTTGTAGAGACTGTGTGCTGTAAGGTATCTTCCAGCATTCGTGGCCTCCTCCCCACTACCTGACTGGATACCCCCTGCACACGCCACCCCCCACCCCATTGGCAGCCAAAACTGACGCCTGCGGCGGGACCCAGCACCTAGCAGAGAAACAGCGCTCAGCGGATGGTCAGAAATGGTAGCGGGGAAACAGCGCTCAGCAGACGATCGTTTCCCACCGTCTTGCCTCCTGTCTTCTGCTTTTGGTCTCTCTGGCCGCTGTGCACCTGTGGTTCTACCGCTGTGCCCACTTTCCGGAGAGGTAAGTGGGCTGTCCCCGCCGGACACGGAGGAGCTGGGGGAGCCGGCAGGGGAAGCCTCGGCCGGGCTCTCAGCTGCAGAACCCCTTTCTTGGCACCCACAGCAGGAACAGGGGGAAGATGGGGATCTGCGAAGGGGGCCGGGCTGGAGGGCGGGTTCCCCAGAGCCCCCTTGGAGAGATTTGACAGGGCAGAAGTGACCAGGTAACTGCCCGTGGCTGGCGGTGGCGGGCCTGCCCCCGTTTCATGTGCAGTTTCATGGCTGTGTCAGCGGCAGGACAGATCCTAGAGTAGTGGCTACAGATACAACCCCCCAAGCCCCCCGACACCACACACTCTCGGGCAGCGTTCCCTGAGAGCGCCCACCCCTCTGTCCCTCCCACACTCCCCTCACACAATACACATGGAGGAGTCTCTGCTTGGCAAAAATAATTTAATACTTCATCTGGGCAGCACTCTGGGGTGTCGTCCCTCCCTGGCCCCTGTGCCCTGCCTGACCCACTCAGGGACCAGCACCCCATCCCTGCCCAGGCCTTGGGGGGGGTCAGAGACCCCCAGACCCTGTGCCGCATTCCTAGTGAAGCTGGAGCCACCGTAACTAACGCCAGCCTCTTCCAAGAGCCCCGGCTCTGCCCCTGCCTTCCCTCAAAATCCTCCCTCCTAAGACACCCTGTACCGAGCCTGGCATCTCAGCCTCCCGCAATCACCTCTGAGCCTGGAAACTTGCACACTGCAGCCCTGCGCTAGGACCCCGGGAGCTGCCAGGGGATTCAGGGAGTCCCAGAAGGAGGGAGGGGACAGCAGCCCTGTGCCCAGCAAGACACATGATGACACCTGATTCACACACAGCCGGTTTAGACACCAAAGCCCTCCCAGCCCTACGGGGAGGAGCGGCCCTCAAGAGTCCTCTGGGAGCCCAGGGTGGGGGTAGAGGCCTCGGAGGGGGCCCCACGCAGCTGCTCCAGGCCGTCGGCGTACTGGAAGGCCAGCCCAGTCTCGTGCTCGTACATGTCCAGAGCCACCTCGCAGCTCTCGCGCACCACGCGCTCAGGGTCGCCCGTGTGGGCCTGCAGTGCGGCCAGGCAGGAGGGCCGGGCAATGGCGCCCAGGGCCTCGGCACACTCATGCCGCACCATGGGGTTCTCGGCGTGGCGGGCCAGGGCGGCTGCCAGTTGAGGCACTGCCGCCTCGTGCTGCAGCTGTCCCAGGACATAGCCGACCTCATGGCGGAAAAGGGCGCTCCCACAGCGCAGGCCTGCAGGGGAGAGAAGCGGGAAGGAGAGCTCTTTTCGTTAAGACGTGGGGTCTTGCTATGTTGCCCAGGCAGGTCTCAGCCTCCTACCCTGGCTGCCCAAAGTGCTGGGACTATAGGTGTGAGCCACCATGCCCAACCTGGGGTGGGCTGTCTGAGGCCACCCCCTGCCCCTAGACCCAGTGATCAGGGCTGCCCAGGGGAAGTGACCGGAGCCACAGGGTCGGACAGGAACACCTGCACGGGTAACAGGCCCCGTGGGAAAGACCTGGGGCCAGGCCCGGCACGTTCCCTGGGCAGTCCGCAGCCCCATGGCACAGATGCCATCACTGGGCTTCACAGGGAGGCACCACCCAGGACCCCACCCCAGGAGCCCCTCCTCACCCTCGGCCAGCGCCAGGGCGGCCGCCTCGCCTCCCGCATTGCGCAGGGCGAACATGGCGCGGTATCGCTCAAACAGCGGCCGAGACTCATCCAGCAGCGCCTCCCGCAGGCGCCCCACGTCGCGCTCCTCGGCCGGTGGGGCGGGGTCCACGGAGAGGTAGGGTCCCGCCGCTGGCTCCCCACCGTGCTGCTGCAGCCACTCCAGCCTACGCACGGCCAGCTGGCAGGTCTCGGCCACCTGCGGGGAGGGGGCACGTGAAGAGCGGTAGGTCCTGGGGAGGCCGCAGGGGTCCCCCCCAACCCTCCCATGGCAGCTTAGCAGGGGAGACAGCCACCAGCAGGGGTGGCTGACTTGCCAGTGACCAGGGAAGGCTGGAGGGGCTGGGGAAGACCTCAGGGAGGAGGTGATGTGGATGCAGAGACTAGAACCAGCTGAGGGAGGGGGTCAGGTGGAGACCCGGGGATGGGGAAGCAGCTGGCGCAAAGGCCCCAAGGTAGGACCGTGCGGGAGGGGTGAGGGCCGAGGGGACAGGCAGTGGCTGGGCCTAACTAGGACAGGCCTGCGGCCACGGTGAAAACTCGGGATTTTGTCCTAAAGGTAATGAGACAGCGTGAGAGCTTGAAGCACAGGACAGAGGAGCAGAATTCAGTGTCACACATGCCTCTGCTGCCCGGGAGGAGAAGAGATCGCGGGTCGGGGTAGGATGTGAATGAGAGGCAGAGGGGAGAAAACACGCGTGTCCACACGAGCACGTGCACACCCATGTCCGGAGCGGCACGACTCACAGCCACAAAGCAGAGGCAACACAAGCATCCAGCCACGGTGAGTGGATCGACACAGCGTGGCCGTCCATGCCACGGAACGTGGCTCAGCCACGAAAAGGAACAATGGGGCTGGATGCAGTGGCTCATGCCCATAATCCCAGCAGCTGGGGAGACCGAGGCAGAGGGTCACCTGCATCCAGACAGCCTGGGTGACAGAGCCGGACCTCATCTCTATAGGGAAAAAAAGTAATGAAACAAATTTTTATTTTATTCTTTTTTTCATTACAGAGATGAAGTCCCGCTCTGTCACCCAGGCTGGAGTGCAATGGCAAGATCTCGGCTCACGGCAACCTCCACCTCCCAGGTACAAACGATTCTCCTGCCTCAGCCTCCCCAGTAGCTGGCATCACAGGCGCCCGCCACCGCGCCTGGCTCACTTTTGTATTTTTAGTAGAGGAGGGCTATCGCTGCGTTGGCCACACTAGTCTCAAACTCCTGACCTCAGGTGATCCATCTGCCTCTGCCTCCCAAGGTGCTGGGATGACAGGTGTCGGCCACGGCACCCGGCAATAAAGCTGTTACTTTACAAAACAGGGAGAGATGTGGGAAGGCAGGAGGCCCCTGAAGGGGTCTGGTGGGCTAGTGCCAGGTATCGGAGGTAGAGAGCACTGAGTGGGTTCAGAGGGGTCTTGGCAGAGGGGCTGGACGTGGGGGTTCAGGGAAAGGGCTTCAGGCCGGCTCGGGCTCAAGGCCCGGGATGAGCTGGTTGTCGCCGTTTTGCCAAATGGGGCACAGCAAGTGTCCGTCTGGGTTGTCGCCCTGGCCTCCCTCATCCCTGGGGCATCCTTGGCCAAGTGGTCGCCCTGGCAACCAGAGATGGGGAGGGCGTGAGGCTGTTCCAGGCCAGGGCTGGGGCAGGGCGGGGCTTCCCAGGGACCCGAGGCAGGCAGGGAGACAGGGGCCTGGTTACCTCGATGACGGGGTCCGACGAATACTGCTTCAGGAGCTCCAGAACTTGGGGGTCCCCGATGGCCCCCAGGGCCTCCCCTGGGAAGAAACCGCCAGAGAGGTCACGTTGGTGGACTGGGTGTCGTGGCGGGATGTGTGGGAAATAGCCAGCTCCTGTGGGACCGGAGGACACCCCTCCCACAGCTCTGCCCCTCTGGGGAAGCCCCGTCTCTGGCCATGGCTGATTGGAACAGCAGTGGGCACAGGCTCCCCGCTGGACCAATCAGCATCCCCTCCCCAGCGTGAGGCATTGCCTGGAACCTCACCAGGCTGCCACGCAGAGCAAAACACACCCCATCTGGCCCTACGCCATGTGACAGGGACACGGTATGTCCCCACAACTCGGGGTCACAGCTGACAAGCAGCTCCAACAACCCAGGAGGTCGGGGTTGCAGTGAGCTATGGTCACACCACTGTACTCCAGCATGGGCGACAGAGTGAAAGCCTGTCTCAAAAAAAAAAAAAAAAATTCCGAAAACAGGCCAGGGGTGGCCAGGCGCGGTGGATCACGCCTATAATCCCAGCACTTTGGGAGGCTGAGGCGGGTGGATCACCTGAGGTCGGAAGTTTGAGATCAGCCTGACTGACCCACATGGAGAAACCCCGTGTCTACTAAAAATACAAAATTAAAAAAATCAGCCAGCCGTGGTGGCACGTGCCTGCAATCCCAGCTACTCCGGGGGCTGAGGCAGAAGTGCTTGAACTCAGCGGGGTGGAGGTTGCTGTGAGTCAAGATCGCACCATGGCACTCCAGCCTGGGCAACAGGAGCAAAACTCTGTCTCAAAAAAAACAAAAAAAAACAGGCCAGGGGTGCCAGCTGGAGACTGCAGAGTTCAGGGTCACTGAGGGTACACTTGGGTGGGTTCAGACGCAGGCGTAGCAAGCCCGGGTCGCAGCAAGGCTCTCTGCAGAGCCCTGGGTGCCGAGGTTCCTTGGATTTGCTCAGAATCGAGCTCAAGGGCTCTGCCTGTGGGGCAGTTGAGCGGGTGGCTTTTGCCTTTCCTGAACGTCGAAGTTGGCATCTGGGCACCTGCCTGGCAGGCTCCCTCTGCTGGAAGAAGTCTTGTGTGCACCTCCCACACACTAATTGCAAATGAGGTTGCTGGTTACAGAAGCACAGTCCCCATGGCACAGACACACCTACTGTCTGACCCATGGCTCCCATCTGCTGTCTGGGTCCCTTACTAGAACAGTCCATTTTTGGAGACAGGGTCTCGCTCTGTTGCCCAGGTTCCAGTGCAGCGGCACGATCATGGCTCAGTGCAGCCTCAACCTCCCTGGCTCAAGTAATCCTCCTGCCTCAGCCTCCCGAGTAGCTGGGACCACAGGGGTGAGCCACAGTGCCCGGCCTGTATCTGTGTTGCCACTGTTTTGTCTCTTACATACGTGACAGGGCCTGGCACACAGTAGATGCTCACTAAATGTGTGTCCAATGAGTGGAGTAAATCTAATACACATTAGGGGTTGGGGATCTACAGCTTGTCCCCTGTTCGTTTTTATAGGAGTGAAGAATGCTTTTGGAACTTTTAATAGTTTAAGGCCGGACGCAGTGGCTCACGCCTGTAATCCTAACACTTTGGGAGGCCAAGGCAGGTGGATCACTTGAGGCCAGGAGTTCAAGACCAGCCTGGCCAACATGGCAAAACTCATCTCTAAAATAGTAAAAATACAAAAATTAGCCAGCCTGGTGGCGAGCACCTGTAATGCCAGCTACTTGGGACGCTGAGGCAGGAGAATCACTTGAACCCAGGAGGCGGAGGTTACAGTGAGCCAAGACAGAGCCACTGCTATCCAGCCTGGGTGACAGAGCAAGACTCTGACTCCAAACAAATAAATGGTTTAAAACAAAAAACCAAAGGGATGACACTTCCTGATGTGTGGAACTTACAGAAAATTCACAGCTCAGCATTTAGAAAAGAACTTTGTTTTTTGTTTTTTGTTTTTTGTTTTGCAGATACAGTCTCACTCTGTCACCCAGGCTAGAGTGCAGCAGAGCAGTCTCGGCTCACTGCAGCCTTGACTTCCCAGGCTCAAGCGATTCTCCCGCCTCAGCCTCCCAAGTAGCTGGGACTACAGGTGTGTGCCACCATGCTCAGCTAAATTTTTTATATTTTTTAGAGACACGGTTTTGCCATGTGGCCCAGGATGGTCTTGAACTCCTGAGCTCAAACAATCCGCCCTCCTGGGCCTTCCAAAGTGCTGGGATTACAGGCCTGAGTCACCGCCCCCAGCCCAACTGAGGTTGTCTGGGCTCGCAGCCTCAGCCATTCCCTCTCAGGGACTTGACTTACACCGGCTGTACTGAGTGGCTGTCTGGCTGCAGAGCTGCAGGTATTTGCTATCTGGTGCTTTATGGGGCAGTTAGCTGACCTGACATTTATCAGGTCCCTGAGTGAGGACAGGGACACGAGGGGTCATGAAGAGGTGAGGCAGGAAGGAGCGGGTACCCGCGACAGACAGGCACTCACCTGCCTCATGGCGCACCATGGGCTCCTGACGGGTGTCTTGTAGCACGGCCACCAGCACGGGGATGGCGCGGGCATCCTGCATCTGGCCCAGGCAGTAGGCCAGTTCGTGCTTGAGCAGGGCGGAATCGTCACCGAAGGCCTGGCTGATCCAGGCGATGGCACCCGGGCCGCCAAGCCCCCGCAGTGTGAACAGCGCCCGGAAGCGGGCGTGCAGGGGTTGCCTGGGGTCCACCAGCATCCGCCCAATGGCCTCCACCTCCTGCTCCGTCACCATCGTGCTGTCAGTGGGCCCCGGCCTTCCACAGCCCGGGCTAAACCTGGGTACACGGTGGTATAGGAATCTATGGCAGAAAAATGAGAGTCCACGTTAGAGGCCCCCTTCACCAGCTTGTTGGCTTGTTCCTAGGACCTGGGCAGGGGAACTTCCTGCCCACTGACCCACCTGAGCATCTGGGCTGGAAGCCCAGCTCTAACCCCACCTGTTAGCTGTGCAGCCTTCCATAAATTGCTTTCCCTCTCTGGGCCTAAGTCTCTGTACCGCCTCTTGCCCATAGGCCTGTCAGAAATGACCGCCACTGTCAGCTTTCCACACAGCAGCCAGAGGGACAACTGACCCCCAAAATGGCCCCAGCGATCCCCACCTAATATTCATGCCTTCATGTAGCCCCCTCCCGCTCTGAACAGGGCTGACCTGTGTGAATGTCAAGAAGATAGAACAGAGCAACACTTCCAAGGTTAGGGCATAGAAGGCACAACAGTCCCGTCCTTGCTTTCTCTCTAGGGGAAGTCAGTGGCCATGTTGTGAGGATGCTCAAGCAACCTTTTGTAGCAGCCCACGTGACAAAAAAACTGAGCCCTCCCACCAACAGCCATGTGAGAGAAGTGGGCTGGCAGCAGCTCGACCAGCCCCCAGCAAGCCTTCGGATCACGTAGCCCCAGAATGTCTCCACTACGGCCTTCCCAGAGGCCAGACCCAGGGCAGCTGTGTGCAGCCGTGGTCAGTGTTGTCTGTCTTTTGTCTCACTTTGTCGCTAGGCTGGAGTGCAGTGGCGCAATCTTGGCTTTCTGCAACCTCTGCCTCTCAGGTTCAAGCAATTCTCGTGCCTCAGCCTCCTGAGTAGCTGTGACTACAGGCATGTGCCACCATGCCTGGCTAATATTTTCTATTTTTTTAGTAGAGACAGGGTTTCATCGTGTTAGTCAGAATGGTCTCGATCTCCTGACCTCATGATCCACCTGCCTGGCCTCCCAAAGTGCTCGGATTACAGGCGTGAGCCACTGCACCAGCCTGTTTACTGTTGTTTAAGGTGGCCAAGTACAGTTTTTGGTTTTTTTTTGTTGTTTTGTTTTTTCTTGAGACAGATTCTCACTCTGTCACCCAGGCTGGAGTGCAGTGGCGTGGTCTTGGCTCACTGCAACCACTGCCTCCCAGTTTCAAGCAATTCTCCCATCTCAGCCTCCCAAGTAGGTGGGACTACAGACATGTGCCACCACACCCGGCTAATTTTTCTATTTTTTAGTAGAGATGGTGTTTCACTATGTTGGCCAGGCTGGTCTTGAACTCTTGACCTCATGATCTGCCCACCTCAGCCTCCCAAAGTGCTAGGATTACAGGTGTGAGCCACCACGCCCGGCTGTTGTTATAGCTGGGCTCTTTTTTTGAGACAGGATCTTGTTCTGTCACCAGGCTGGAGTACAGTAGTGTGATCATGGCTCCCTGGAGTCTCAAACTCCAAGTCTCAAGCAATCCTCCTGCCTGAGACTCCTTAGTGTCCGGGTCCACAGGCTTACACCAGCATACCCAGCTCATTTTTATTTTTATTTGTAGAGATGGGATCTCACTTCTGACCATGTTGCCCAGGCTGGTCTCCAACTCCCAGGCTCAAGTGATCATCCTGCCACAGCCTGCCAAAGCATTGGGATTACAGGTATCAGCCACACACCCAGCCATTGTGGGGACTTTTGTTACCCAGCTTAAATAACAGAGTCAGGAGCACTTTCAGTATGTAAACTGGACCATATCGCTCCCTCGCTTAAGATCCTCCTGTGCCTCCTCACTACTCTAAACTCCCTGGCAGTCCCAAAGGCCCTTCATGGCCGCCTCCCATCACCTCTTCCCAGTCACACGGGCCTCCTCGCTGTTTCTCCAGCATTCGAGGCCCAGTCCAGCCCTAGGCCCTTGGCATTTGCTATGCTCTCCATGAGGAATATTCTTACCCAGATGTCCCCAAGTAGCAGGCCAGGCCAGGTCTCACTAACGCAGGCCTGCGTAACAACCGTTTCAACACTGACTGAGTGGTTAAGTTAAACATTAAAAGCCAGAAGAGGCTGGGCACGGTGTCCCACGCCTGTAATCCCAGCACTTTGGGAGCCTGAGGTGGGCGGATGACGAGATCAGGAGTTCAAGACCAGCCTGACCAACATGGTGAAGCCCCATCTCTACTAAAAATACACAAATTAGCTGGGCATGGTGGCTCATGCCTGTAATGCCAGCTACTCAGGAAGCTGAGGTAGAAGAATTGCTTGAAACTAGGAGGCAGAGGTTGCAGCGAGCCGAGATCGTGCCACTGCACTCCAGCCTGGGCGACAGAGTGAGACTCCTCCTCAAAAATAAATAAATAAATAATAAAAATAGGCTGGGCATAGTGGCTCACACCCATAATCTCAGCACTTTGGGAGGCCAAGGTGGGCAGATCACGAGGTCAGGAGTTTGAGACCAGCCTGGCCAATATGGTGAAACCCATCTCTACTAAAAATACAAAAGTTATCCAGACGTGGTGGCAGGCACCAGTAGTCCCAGCTACTCAGGAGGCTGAGACAGAAGAATCACCTGAACACGGGAGAGGGAGGTTGCAGTCAGCTGAGATGGTGCCACTGCACTCCAGCCTGGGTGACAAAGCAAGACTCCTTCTCAAAAAATAATAATAATTTTTTTTTTTTTTTTGAGACAGAGTTTCACTCGTTACCCAGGCTGGAGTGCAATGGCGCAATCTCGGCTCACCGCAACCTCCGCCTCCTGGGTTCAGGCAATTCTCCTGCCTCAGCCTCCCGAGTAGCTGGGATTACAGGCATGCGCCGCCATGACCAGCTAATTTTTTGTATTTTTAGCAGAGACGGGGTTTCACCATGTTGACCAGGATGGTCTCGATCTCTTGACCTCGTGATCCACCCGCCTTGGCCTCCCAAAGTGCTGGGATTACAGGCTTGAGCCACTGCGCCCGGCAAAAAATAATAATTATTAAAAAATAAAACCTAAAAGAGCCAGTGCCCTCACATAAAAGGCTGGAACAAAAGCCCACCACGAGTTTTGCCCAGGCCTTTCCTGGGCCTTCAGGCATGTCAAGGAAAGAATTGGTGACAGCAGCAGCTGACACTTAGGTAGCATTTGCTATGCACCAGGCACTCCAAGCTATTTACTTTCATTAATTCATTCGATCCACATCATTACCTTATGAGGTAGGTACTAAGATTGTCCCCATTTTACAGGTGAGGAAACTGAGGCAATTTGGGACTGTGCTTGGGAACAGCGTGAAGAGTTAGGAATCCAGGAAGTCTGGCTCCAGAGTCGGGCTCTAAACCACCAACACTTTGTTGAATGACTTAGGATGAAAGAACAGAACCAAGGCGGGCAGAAGGGACCCCTCTCTGTCCTCTAGATCGGCTGAGAAGCTGGCGAATGCTTCATCTCAGGACAGGCAGGCTACGGCTTGCCGGCAGCCCTCTCTGGTTAAGACTGGCGTCAGCAAGGCTGCCTGGGCTAAAAGAGGGAGGTGGTGTCACCTAAGCACAGGTGATCATCAAAGGAGAGTGACACCTTGAAAGAGGGATCATCATTGACCTCAGAAGCCAGGACTTTGCGAGGTGGCAGGGCGATGGGGACCATCGAGACCCAACCGTACGACATAGGAGCTAAAGGGCGTGAGGCCGGCAGTATTTAATGTAAAACACCCCAGAGGAAACAGATCACCTGGACTCGGGACCCCTTAACCCGCCCCATCCACAGCCAACGAATCCCTGATACCGGATTCCAAACGAGGCGCTCCCGGTGCCCGCCCGCCCGCCCGCCAGATCCGGGCCCCGCACCGTGATCGCCGCCTCCGGGACGCCTCACCGAGCTCCGGAGATTCAGGGCCCCTCGGCCCGGCCCGTTCCCGCAGGCGCCGCCGCGACCACCGCTTCACCAGCAGCCACACGCGCAGTTCTGTCTGGGGGCCGTCATCTTGCCGCTCACGTGACCGGGCCGGACGGCACCAACGCAGCCCCGGGGGAGACCCAGTGTGAGGCTCCCGTGCAGGAGGGAGGTCCGGAGGCCCGAGTCCCTGCTGGTGCCACAGCTCACGCAAACACAGGAACGAAATTCTTATTTCATTCCTCGGGGAAGGAGACGGGCAACGTATGTTCTTTCATGGGAAAAAATTATCTCCGACCTCCCCACCGCGGTAAGAAGTGAGAATGGTTTGTGCCGATTCAGCGCAGAGCCTGAGCTGGCTAGCGACGGAGCATGCGCAGTGTCTCCAGGCGTGGTCAGACTGTGGAGGCGTGGCCAGTGGGCTCAGGGAAAGGAATTGAAGAAGAAAGATGTGGTCGTTCACTCATTCATTTATGTAACAAATAGTAAACGAGTGTTGAGGACAAGTCAGCCTGAAGCCCTTACCCTTGTACGCCTCACAGTGTTGTTATAGAGGGAGACAGAAAATAATGCGAGAAATAAATGCAATACCTATTAGATGGTAAAAAAGGCTTAAGATAAAGAGAAAACATTCGGTAACCAAGGGCGGTGTATGTATAAGGAGTGCAGTTTTAGGAACGGTGGCCAGAGTCTGAGGTGGTAACATTTGAAGAAAGACCTAAAGGGGCCAAGCGCGGTGGCTCACGCTTGTAATCCCAACACTTCTGGAGGTCGAGGCAGGTGGATCACTTGAGGTCAGGAATTCGAAACCAGCCTGGCCAAGATAGCGAAACCCCGCCTCTACTAAAAATATAAAAATTGGCCGGGTATGGTGGTGCGAACCTGTAATCCCAGCTATTCGGGATGCTGAGGAAGGAGAATTGTTTAAACCCCGGAGGCAGAGGTTGTAGTGAGCCAAGTTTGTGCCATTGAGGCGACAAGAGCAAAACTATCTCAAAAAAAATAAAAGGAAGTAAACAGAAGATGGGCAAGGTCAGAAGCAGAGAGACCGGAAGTACACAGGTGCCAGATTAATTTTGGAGGTGAAAGGATTTAATTTAGAAAAGCAGTCCTGCCAAGGATGAGTACAGGTTTCTTCTGAAAGGAGCAGCTGGAGAGGTGGACCCCACATTAATTGTTCTCACCTCCTCATCCTCTCCATCCACAGTCCTGTAGACTCCGCCTCTGACATGGAGTCAGAATCCAATCAGCTCGGCCGGGCGTGGTGGCTGACGCCTATAATCCAAGCATTTTGGAGGCCAAGGCGGGCAGATCACCTGAGGTCAGGAGTTCAAGACCAGCCTGACCAACATGGTGGCTTGAACCCAAGATTCCAAGACCAACCTGGGCAATATAGTAAGCCGGTCTCAGCAGAGATTTTTTTTTTTCTTTTTTAATAAATTTGGCTGGGTATGGTGGCACATGCCTGTGATCCCAGCTACCAGGGAGGCTGAGGCAGGAGAATCACTTGAACCTGGGAGACAGAGGTTACATTGAGCCAAGATCCTGTCACTGAACTGCAGCCTGGACAACAAAGCAAGACTCCTTCTCAAAAAAAAAAAAAAAAAAAAGCCGGGCGCAGTGGCTCAAGCCTGTAATCCCAGCACTTTGGGAGGCCGAGGCGGGTGGATCACAAGGTCGAGAGTTCGAGACCATCCTGGTCGACATGGTGAAATCCCGTCTCTACTAAAAAATACAAAAAATCAGCTGGGCATGGTGGCGTGTGCCTGTAATCTCAGCTACTTGGGAGGCTGAGGCAGGAGAATTGCCTGAACCCAGGAGGCGGAGGTTGCGGTGAGCCGAGATCGCGCCATTGCACTCCAGCCTGGGTAACAAGAGCGAAACTCCGTCTCAAAAAAAAAAAAAAAAAAAAAAAAAAGCTGGGTGTGGTGGCTCATGCCTGTACACCCAGCTACTCAGAAGGCTTGATGGCTTGAGTCCAGGAGTTCAAGGATTCACTGAGCTGTGATCACACCACTGCTCTTTAGCCTGGGTGACACAGCAAGACCCTGTCAAAAAAAAAAAAAAAAAAAAAAAAAAAAAAGGCCAGGCGCAGTGGCTCATGCCTGTAATCCCAGCACTTTGAGAGGCCGAGGTGGGCAGGTCACCTGAGGTCAGGAGTTTGAGACGAGCCTGGCCAACATGGTGAAATCCCATCTCTACTAAAAATACAAATATTAGCCAGGCGTGAGGCCTTTAATCCCAGCTACTCAGGAGACTGAGGCAGAAGCAACCCTTGAACCCAGGAGGCAGAGGTTGCAGTGAGCCAAGATTGCACCACTGCACTCCAGCTTGGGTAACAGAGCGAAACTCCATCTTAAAAAAAAATAAAGAAAAATTAATTAAAAAAAAAAACATAGGCCGGGCGCGGTGGCTCAAGCCTGTAATCCCAGCACTTTGGGAGGCCGAGGTGGGTGGATCACGAGGTCAAGAGATCAAGACCATCCTGGTCAACCTGGTGAAACCCCGTCTCTACTAAGGATACAAAAAATTAGCTGGGCATGGTGGCACGTGCCTGTAATCCCAGCTACTCAGGAGGCTGAGGCAGGAGAATTGCTTGAACCCAGGAGGCGGAGGTTGTGGTGAGCCGAGATCGTGCCATTGCACTCCAGCCTGGATAACAAGAGCGAAACTCCGTCTAAAAAAAAAAAAAAAACATAAAATGCTGTGCATAGCAAAGAAATCCCTTTGGAAGGCGAACTTCTAGTTTAAGACAACGTTCTGTCATTGGTTGCACGGGTATTTATTGAACAACCACTGTGTGTTGGACAGTGTCCTGGGCACAGAGGACACAGAACAAAACAGACACAGTGTCTGGCCTCAGGGAGCTGACACCTCAATTTATTTTTTATTGCCTTCCTAGGTGTTTGAAAGCTGCCTGCAGATAACAGGTGTCACTGCAGCCCTCAGACACCTTGCAAGGATGTCATCTCGATCCTGTTTGTGGCTCAGGCTGTTTACCGAGGACTTCCCGTGGGCCAGGGACTGTGCTGACTCAGGAAGGCTACAGGGCGGGGTGCCAGGTGTGATCAGCCTAAGGATGCTCCGTGGGAGGAGCTAAGTCCCGCGTGCAGGAAGCAGATACGAAGCCACAGCTGAAAGCACGGCCTGTGTAAGTCAGCAAACACGGCATTTCCGAAGACCCGAGTGAAACTGATGAGGAAGGCACCTGCGCTGAGCCTGGGCGTCTGCGGCTTCTGCTCTGTGGGTCCTCTGGGCTTGAGCAAGTCCCTGAGGGCCGGAAGTCTGCAAACCAGGTAGGTGCAGAGCTGTGCCCTGTCTGGGGTTTCCTGGGAAAGATCCTTCACGCCTCTTCCAGCTTTTGGGGTGGCCAGCAGTCCTTGGTGTTGTTTGGCTTGTGGCTCCGGCACTCCAGTCTCTGCCTCTATCATCACCTGGCCTTGGCCCCTGTGTTTCTCTGTGTTTTGTTTTTTGTGTCTATTTTTTGAGACAGAGCCTCACTCTGTGGCCCAGGCTGGAGTGCAGTGGTGCGATCTTGGCTCACTGCAACCTCCACCTCCCTGGTTCAAGCAATTCTCCTGCCTCAGCCTCCCAAGTAGCTGGGATTACAGGTGAGCGCCACTACACCTGGGTCGTTTTTGTATTTTTAGTAGAGATCAGGTTTTACCATGTTGGCCAGGCTAGTCTCAAACTCCTGACTTCATGATTTGCCTGCCTCGGCCTCCCAAAATGCTTGGATTACAGGCGTGAGCCACCACACCTGACCGAAACTATGGTAGATTCTATGCAGTTGTAAGAATAATACAGAGAGACCAAGGGTATCCTTTATTCGCTTTCCCCCATGGCGACATCTTGCAAAACACTGGTGCCTAGCCAAGGCGGGCACATCACCTGAAGTCAGTAGTTCGAGACCAGCCTGGCCAACACGGTGAAACCCCATCTCTACTAAAAATACAAGTATTAGCCGGGCATGGTGGCGGGCACCTGTAATCCCAGCTACTTGGGAGACTGAGGCAGGAGAAGTGCTTGAACATGGGAGGCGGAGGTTGCAGTGAGCCGAGATCGCACCACTGCACTCCAGCCTAGGTGACAGAGCGAGACTCCATCTCAAAACAGAAAAACACTGGTGCATAACATTACCAGGATGTAGCCTTGATACAATCCACCCATCTAAGCAGAGGTCCCCAGTTTTACTTGTTCTTGTTGGTATGGGTGTAGGTGTGTGTGTATTAAGTTCTAGATAATTCTATATCCCTGTAGTTTTTGTGCCACCACCATCGTGTCACTGAACCATTGCAACACAACAGATGTGGCTGGTGGGAAATAAAGACCTCCCAACCCACTCCAAGACATCCACATCCTAATCCCCAGAACCTTGGAATCTGTCATTTTACGTGGTATAAAAAGGACTCTGCAGCTGGGCACGGTGGCTCACACCTGTAATCCCAGCACTTTGGGAAGCCAAGGCTGGCGGGTCACCTTAGGTTAGGAGTTCAAAGCCAACATGGTGAAACCCCATCTCTACTACAAATATCAAAATTAGCTGGGTGTGGTGACATGAGCTTGTAATCCCAGCTACTGGGGAGGCTGAGGCAGGAGAGTCACTTGAACCTAGAGGCAGAGGTTGAAATGAGCCAAGATCGTGCTCATGGTAGAATTTCTTTTAGTTTGTTTTGAGATGGAGTCTTGCTCTGTTGCCCAGGCTGGAGTGCAGTGATGCGATCTCAGCTCTCTGCAATTTCTGCCTCCCAGGTTCAAGCAATACTTCTGCCTCAGCCTCCTGAGTAGCTGGGACTACAGGCGTGCGCCGCCACGCCCAGATCATTTTTGTATATTTAGTAGAGACAGGGTTTCACCATGTTGGCCAGGCTGGTCTCCAACTCTTGACCTGGTGATCTGCCCACCTTGGCCTCCCAAAGTGTTAGGATTACAGGCGTGAGCCACTGCACCTGGCTGCCTATGCTTTTTAAAAAATTTATTTTTGTCCTTTTTGTTTGTTTGGATTTGTTTTGAATCACAGTCATCCTAAGAGGCGTGAAGGGCCTGGTGCAGTGACTCACACCTGTAATCCCAGCATTGTGGGAGGCCAAAGCAGGCGGATCACTTGAGTTCGGGAGTTCGAGGCCAGCCTGATCAACATGGAGAAACCCTCTGTCTACTAAAAATACACAATTATGGAGGGAAGGGAAAAAAAAATACAAAATTAGCCAGACGTGGTGGCGCTTGCCTGTAATCCCAGCTGCTCGAGAGGCTGAGGCAGGAGAATGGTTTGAACTTAGGAGGGGGAGGTTTTGGTGAGCCGAGATTGTGCCATTGCACTTGCATTCCAGCCTGGGCAACAAGAGTGAAACT